GTTAATAAATATATTTGTTATATGAAAGTTCTGTGTCTGTGGTCGCTGTGAGTATCCATGACGTCACAATATGTTACTTTCTCACACACGTTCTAAATGACTTTTATTTATAGATAATAAGGTTATGAAACGTATGAAACCTTCCAATTTTCATTTGTTAACTCAACAACTTTCATAGAGAAAATGGAAAAACATTCATCATTCACAAATTAGAATTTATTACATAGTAACATCCTATAATATATTTTTAATAACAAGTGCATCCAAATAATTCGTACCACTTTTTAACCCATGATGTACCTACAATCTAAATTTTAAGAACTGACTGTTGAATTTTATATTTAACAAAATTACTTGGAAGTTATTAATCATTCGATTAACTGAGTGTATTTTGTCAATCAGTACTCAGAGAATATTTACTAATTTGAATTTTTCCTCGTCAAACTCTTTTTAACATAGTGTAAATATTTTCTAAGAATGTATAATCATAAGAATCCGAAATTGTGAAAATAAAAAATTAAATAGCAATTAATGGTGGTTTGCGGTTAATTATACATGACTAACATTTCAATGAAGTATTGTTTTGTCTTTCATGAATCGTTGAAGTTCGTCAGAGTTCATGTTTTGTGGGTCCTTGATACTGAAACATTGACTGCCAGCAAAACGTATATCTGCCCGTCTACCCTGTCGTCTGGCTGTGGTCAATGATTGCGCCTAAACGGTTCAGCCAATTTTCTACAAAACTGATATTGACAGACTGATGTAAAGGTACTCGAGGCCTAGCGAGTTTGAAACGGATGTGTCAATTTTGGGGGGGACTTGAGATTAAGCCTTATTTCATTTTCACAATTTTATCAAAAATTGCTCCAAATTGTTTAAATATTTGACGCAACTGTGCGAACTCAAACTTAAAAGTTCAGTTTCTTCTTTCCCTTTTACGAGTTACGTTTGCTGGTTTTAATTGTCATAGTCCTCTCAGTTTGCCTCTAATTGGGTACCTATCATCTGCTTATTATCTTAAAATATTTGAATGTAATGATTTATCTTCTTAAAAAATACAAAATTAATGTGAGCAGAGCAATTCATTTTTCCATGGCGAAATCAATACATTCTACCGTCTATGTATTTATAAACAGCACTTTCAGTGATTACAAATAAGATCTTTAGTTTCTTTATGAGATGAGATGTGTCTTTCATAGACATCCACTCGTATATTTTCTAGTGGTCAGCAAGAAACGCAGTGCTAATAATAATAGTAAATTCAGGATGCTCCTTATCTCAGCGGAAGGTGAGTTTGGCAGATAAGGAAACGGAAGATATATAACGAGGAAAACTAAGCAATGAATATGCATTAGTGTCAGAACTTTCCTGTAGTTTCAGTAACAGAAAAGAAAATTTCTTGTTTTAGTGAACTTTCATTTGAGAACCTATGAATATTCGTATGTGTTCTGTGCGTTTTCTTATTATTAGCAATGAAGCATCATTTTGTCTAGTTTGAATACAATATCAAGTAATATGTAGCAATATAATATTAAGCAAATGTAATACTTTTGACAATTTTGAAATATTGGGTGAATATAGGAACTGTTATTTTTCATAACTGAATATTGTACTTCACTTTGCTTTTAACGTTCAATTCTTTCCAGAATTTTTGTTTATTTTTCAAGTATTTCCAGCATTTTAAATTAGAAATTAAACAGAACACTTAAGTATTGGTTGTCACCGTGTTTCTGTGAGTATTTATCCACGCAATCCTTAAATTATTATTATTAATGCACATAAATGCTTTTTTTTATCAAATCTGTGATGATCAAATGCCTTATTAACAAGAACAACATAATCAGCTCACTGTTTGTCTTGGTCCTTCGGGACATCTGTTATGATTAAGTTTCTGTGTGATAACAAAATTCTTCTTTTATACTATGTGGAATGTAATATTTAACTATAATGTGTAATGTGTTGAATTATGTTCATTATACATATTCTAAGTGTTTATTCAACATTTACTTTATGCTCCTTTCTCCTAGTTCCAAATGAGTTCACATTGCAATTCTGTAGCCAATCACGTGCCGAGAACGGCTTTCTTGACCCGACAGGCTGCTTGCAGGCCTCCATTTGACTAGAAGTTATGAGCGGGGAATGAGCGATTATGGACTGTGTAACACCTGGACTTCTTGAAATTCGTGGAAGGTAACCTTAACTTACTTTTATGTATATCAATTTTTATGTATATGTTTAACACAGTGTTGAATTGAAATAGAACTTCTAAAATTTCAGAATATTAGGAACCTATTAAATTCGAAAACTCGATCTTAATGCACCTACAAAGTAGGCAATAACTTATTACAATTATCGAGCATTAATCATCAGAAACATTTCCTGTTAGAAGGCAGATTCAAAGAAAAGTACTAAAACTTTGCAATCATTCGAACCTCCAGAAAGTTGTTTTAAAATGAGATCTAATCTATAGGCTTTTTCTATATATTCGAAAATTTTAAAATTTACTTCATTCTAATTGTGTAACTTGGAGGCTGTTTATCTTACTTTTGTTCGGATTTTAATTGCAGTATTTTCCCCTCCAAATATCATTAATATTAAGCCGAAATCATTAGTTTGACTGGCGCAAGCAAACCACCACCTAGGCTGCTTCAGGTTAGTAAAACCTTCAGTATAACTTCAAGAAAGTTTCTTCGCGGCAGCCGGTAGAAATGAAGGTTAGGCCTCTCGAAAGACGCGATGGTGCCTTGATCGTAACAGGCGTTTCTGATAGACATTGGTTGAACTAAATTCTAGTATTATCTACAAAATTTTCTAGATAATAAAAATTCCGACTCCATATCTTCCCAAATATACTTATATTACATGGTATATTGAAACGGATGTTGTGTAAAATTCGGAAAAAACTATTGCTCCTGTGTAAAAAAAAAAAAAAAAATTGGGACCTACAAATTTCGTTTGATAGTACTGCTGACTAGAATTATCTCTCGTTTCTCATACAAATTGAGTGAAAGAAAACTGAGATACAACATGCAAACAAATTTTCGTGATTGTGGCGAAGGTTTTTGTTCGAGAAAGTGATGAATTATACCGAAAATTTTGTATTTTACAAGATGACTAAAATGGAAATAATTTC